TTAGTGGTAGCCCTGCTAGGGTTTCCATGGACTGTCTAAGGTGGGTGGGGATCTCCATCCCTTCTCTGCTCTCTGTTTTCCATCTCCTAGAGTTTTCTTTATCCTTGGAAGCTTCTTCTTTGGTTTTTCTGCTTCCTGGAACTTTTCTCTTTCAAGTGGTTGTCGTGGTACTGTTCCATTGATGTGGAGTGTTGATGGCTGAACAAAGCAATGTTGATTTGGCCACTAATATTCAATTGATAAAGGCTATTTTTGTTGATGTTGTTGGAAAAGGCTTTGACCCTATTAAAAATTTTGATGACTTGGTTTTTCCTCAAAGCTACTATGAGGTGGCTGACCCAATCATTAAACCTCTCAGTAGGAAGAGTGGAGAAATGACCATTTTTTATAATGAGGAGGATATCTAAAGCCTGGCTGATAATTGCAAATTTACTCTTATAGGCAAATTTTAGTTAAGTCATCCTAAAATGAAAGCTCTAAGGAAGTTCTTTGATGACATTAAACTTAAAGGAGCTTGGAGATTTGGCCTCGTTGATGGTAGACATATTCTAATCCACTTGAAAAGAGAAGAAGATTATGCCAGAATTTTCTCTAAGAAGATTTTACAGATTGAGGGCAACACTATGAAGATTTTAAAGTTTTCTACTGAATTTGATCCTATCAAGGAACTTCCAATAGTTCCTATATGGTTCAAACTTCTAGGATTAAAGCTTTATTTTTTCAACCATAAAGTGTTGTTTAACATTAGACAGGCTTTGGGTAAACCCCTAAAATTGGATGTTCCAACTTTCAATTTATCTAGACCATCAGTTACAAGAATTGTAGTTGAAAGGGACCTAACTCTCCCATGAGTTGATGAAATATGGTTGGGTACTGAACATAATGGGTATTGGCAGAAAATCATTGCTGAACAAAAGCCTTACTATTGCTTCCACTGTTATATGTTTGGGCACACAGATAACAAGTGTTTTAAACTGCACCCTCATCTCTGAAACACTAATCATGGGGTCCCAAAAGATGTTGATTTGCCTATGGAAGCTTTGGTTGAGCATGTGAGGGAAACAGCAATTACTGTTGAGAGCTCTGATCATATAAATTATGGGTATAATGCCAAAGGTCTTGAAGAAATTTACCAGACCACCAATACTGCTTTGGTTATTGAGACTAAAAATGCAGACAACAATATAGCCAATGCTAGTCCTATCCATCTTCTGAATGCAATGACTGATAGGTTATCTAAGGATGAAGCTGGCCCCTCATAAAGTCACCAAGAACCATTAGTTGTACAGATCACAGCTACTGTAGGTACTGCCCAGGCACCTTTTGTTTCTAAGCCCCAGAGTTCTCAGCTGGATGTTGGTGAGGTTGTTCATAAGGATTACCAAGTGGTCCACTTTAGTTGAAGTTTTACAGACTGCTTTGGTTGATGAATGAAAAACCCAAAAAAATAAGAAAAAAGAAAAGGGTAACCATAAATTAAACAATGTGAAGGTAGGAACATACTCACTTAAAGACAGAAATACTTATATGGAAACTAAGGAGGCCATGTTAAGTTTTAGAAGGAGGGGTAAATCCATATCCTTTGGATGATGAACCTTTTGTGTTGGAATGTTAGGGGATTGACACATCCTAAATCCCTTAACACACTTATTGCTTTGAATAGGATGTATAAGTTTTGGTTTTTGGCTATTTTGGAACCTATGGTTTCCAAAAACCCCCAGAAAATCATTAGAAAATTCTTTGGCTTCTCTCATTTTGCTAATATGAGTAATAAAATTTGGTTACTCCATAGACAGGAAGTTATGTGCCAAATTTTTTGGGATCATCCACAATTCCTTCACATAAAGTTTATCTTTGGGGGTCAGGAAGGACTGGCTACATTTGTTTATACTGGAAGCTCCTCAAGTGCCAAATTGGAGTTGTGGGAGAGCATTCATGTTATCAGCAGATCCTGCAATTCCTTATGGCTGGTGGGTGGGGATTTCAATTCCATTTCTGCCCCTACTAAAAAATTAAGTGGCAACTGTTATAAAATCTATGAACTACTTTAACGATAATATTATCTTGGCTGGTTTATTTGATCTTGGCTTCACTGGACCCAAGTTTACTTGGAGGAGAGGACCTTTATGGGAAAGATTAGATAGAATCCTTGTTAACTCTCTTTGGTTGAATGAATTTTTACATACTTCTATCCAACATCTTAGCATGACAGGATCTGATCATAGACCCTTACTTATCATTATTTTCACATCTCCAATCAAGCACAAATCCAGGTTAAGATATCTTAACATGTGATCTTCTCACCATGATTTTCTTAATCAAATCTCTTTGGGGTGGATAGATTGTCACCACTCCAATCCTCTGATTAAACTATGGATGCTGTAAAAGAAGATTGACAAACAACTGTCTGATTGGAACTAGACTGTGGTGGGGGATATTAATTTGAAAGTAAAGGAGGTTGAAAAGGAAGTGAATGATATGGAGACCAGGCCGGAAAACAATCCTGATACTAAAAAGGATTTAATGCTAGCTAATGAAAACCTGATGAATGCAATTAGTATGCAGGAGGTATTCTATGCTCAAAAGGCTGCTAAGACCAGATTTTGAGAAGGGGACAAAAACACAAAGTACTTTCATTCTTGCATCAACTATAGGAGGAAATGAAACACCATTCATAAGATTAGAGATCCCTCAGGGCACTGGATTTAATCTGAAGACTTAATTGCAGCTAGTGCTATTCATTATTTTCAAACTCTATTCACTCGACCTCCAGTCATCAGACTTCCAATTCAGCAAAACCTATTTGATCAGAGTTACACAAGAAACCTGGACTTGGCTTCTATCTATGGGGAATTGAAAATTTGTTCAGCCTTGACCTCCATTGACAGCTCCAAAGTAGCAGGCCCAGATGGATTCTCAGCAGATTTCTATAAGAAAGCATGGAAGATCATTAAAGGGGATATTATTGAGGCAGTACAAAGCTTTTTCAAAGGGATGGATTTGCCTAACTATTTTAAATGCTCTACCATTACCTTAATTCCCAAAAATAACTCCAAGAACTTTTAGGACCAGTTCAGGCCTATCAGTCTTACTAATGTGCTGTCCAAAATTGTTAGCAAGGTGATTTCCAATAGATTGCAGGCACATTTACATCATCTCATCAGTGAAAATCAATAATCTTTTGTTCAAGGGAGAAGTATAGTGGAGAATATTCTCTTGGATCAAGAATTAGTCCTAGATTTGGACAAACAATGTAGAGGAGGGAATCTTATTTTCAAACTTGATATCCAAAAGGCTTATGATACCATACATTAGGAATTCATTTTGGAGGTGCTATCTGCAAGGAGATTCTCTCAACCCATTATTTCCTTAATCCTTAGGTGGTTTCATAGTAATAATCATTCTATTTTCATTAATGGGAAGTCTCATGGCTTCTTCAAAGCTTCCAGAGGCCTCAAATAAGGTGACCCCTTATCCCCCACTATCTTCATACTTACTTTTGATTACTTCTCTAGACTGTTGAATCAATTAATGGACAAAGCTCCTCACTCACTGTATAGCCATAGATCTAACATTGTTGTTAACCATTTAGCCTTCTGATGATGTTATTATATTTGCCAAAGCTATTAAACATGCAGTTAAATTGCTTTTCCAATGTCTGGAGAATTTTCAAGATTGCTCTGGAATGAAATTTCATAAACAAAAATTCCAAGTAGTGTTCAGTAAAAGGGTGAAAACAGAAATTAAGCATTTGATTTCAGATCTTACTGGCTTTTTCTCTAGTTCTCTTCCTCTGAAATACTTGGGGACTTTATTGCTCAAAGGGAGGACAAGGCAAGTCCAATTTGATGAAATTATACTTAAACTCCAAGATAAACTCAACAGCTGGTCTAACACTTTCCTCTCTAATGAGGGAAGAATTACCCTCCTTAAAAGTATTTTGGCTGCCCTGCCATCTTATATATCACATGTTTCTATTATGAAGAAATCCATCCAAACTACTCTAGAAAGAAATTTCAACAGATTCCTTTGGGCAGGCCAGAGAAAGCAGGTGCATTGGGTGAGATGGCAAAAAAGTTTGTGGCAGTGCTAAAGAAGGAGGTATGGAGTTTAAAAGCTTCTAGTAGATTTCCCAAACCAACTTTTGCAAACTCTGGGTTATGTTTAGAGCACAGAATTCCATTTGGGCTAAATTTTTGAAAGGAAAGTACTGCAAAGATCTGCATCCTTCTCTTATGACTACTAGATTAGGGATTCAAAAACTTGGAAGAACATGCTGAAGATGAGAACAAAGGTTGAACAGCTATTCATTTAGGAAATAGGGGATGGCATACTCAATGTGTGGCTAGATAATTGGACTAGAGAAGGCATTATCCCTCCATTAGCTAGCTCTCAATTCAACCCTACAACACAGGTGGCTGACCTTTGGTCTGATGGTGAATGGAACCAGCAAGCTCTTCAAAAAATCCTTGATAATAGATTA